AAAAGCTCCATGCCCGCTCACTACTCACCTCAATCGTGCATTCTCTCCGCAGTCCGCATCCGAGGCTTGAATCCGCGCTACCAGCTGCCCGACCTCACCATTCTCTTCGATCCAAGCTTGATACTGGGGCAGCTCAAAGTGCGGCCAGTTGTCATTCTGATCCTCTACCAGAATGGTCACATGCAGAGTTGCGGTGGCGGAGGGGGCTTGAGGCCGTCGTTGAGGCCCATCGCCCAAATCCAGTGCCTGGATCAGCAGACGATGTTCCGATTGGAGTTCACGATCCAATGGTGCAAGCAGCATCAAACGCCCGGTTTGAGGGTCCACAGCGAACAGTGAGGTGTTGCCCTGCAATTGCGGAATGTAATGGAAATTCCGGAGATGACAATATGAAATTTTCCAGCCTTAAAAGAGAAAAATTCGGTCTTAAATCCCAAAAATAGAACCGGAATGAAAGGTGTATGGAAGGTAAAGGTACAGCTATCGCATGAAAGTGAGGGTGAAGGTAAGGGTAAAGGTAATGAAAGGTAAAGGTATCGTCTGAACCGCATGAATCGCAATCGCAATCGCCAGTACCTGTAAAATCGCGTAAGCTATGGTGCTGCTGACATTCCGGCTGCTCCAGTTGTCACGATCCTCGGCCAGTGTCGTGCCCAGATGTATCGGGAAAGGACCACGAAGATTTTCCGCCAGCCTCAGCAGCCAATGGTCACCACCAGTGTTCACAAAACGTGGACTCTCGTCGTTCAGATCGCCAACTTCGATGAGAACCCGTCTGCAAGAGCCAGAATTTGAAGGTGGCTAGATCAACGTCTATTCGATACTGATCATATCATGATTTAGATCACTCTGATCAACTGATCAATCAATAACAGATCAATGAGATCAATCTTACGTGATCTGTTTCGGGGCGTCGATCGAGTGGCGCACTGAAACACTCAAATTATATCTGCTTTCCAAGTCAGCATCGAGATGCTTCCGTGTGGTGATCAGACCGGAACGTGAGCCGATCTCAAACACTCCTCGCGGGTCACCGCCTTCGATTTCGAACAATTTCACGTCGGCACCGTCACCGTCATCCGTCTGAAAGAAATGTCCCAGTTTCTTCACAGTCAGATTGATTCACGCAAATCATTTGGNAAATTCACGTAATTTACGTGAAAATCTCTGCTAGTTGCGTGAATCTTACGTGAACTCTCAAGGTAACTTACTTTATCGCCCGCATCTCCAGCCCCAGATTCCGCAAGCACCTGAACAACCGGCTGCCCCAGAGTAGCGTTTTCGAGTACTTTCCCGTAAAAAGTATCGTTTAAAATCCATTTGGTATCTTCTGCTGAATCTCCAGAGTCACAATCGCTCTTCATCACAACAACGGTGATTTGCATAGTGGACACGTGAACTGTCGCCAGACCGCTATCGAAAGCTTCCAAGGTAAGGTGGTAGAGCCGTTGGCGTGCGCCATCCAGACGACCATTCACCTGCACATAATCAAAATTTACGTGAAAAGTCGCGGCGATTACGTACGTGAAAAACGTTGATTGGCAAAGAGCCAAAAAGCTACCGTATTGTATCGTACCTGCAAATAGCCAAAAACCGGATCGATCAGGAACACGGCTTGCGGATGCGACTCGGGCACGATCCGGTAGTGGACCTGCGCGTTCCAGCCCGCATCTGGATCTAGCGCCTCCACGACGCCGACCAGCGAACCGTTGGGCGCGTGTTCGCGGACGAAGAACACCGGGGGTGAGCGGAACCGAGGCGCGTTGTCGTTCACATCTGTGACGACGACAGTCAGACGGGTTCTTGCCACGAAAGCTGCAAAAAGTTTGCACCAGATTACTGTACTGTACTGTAAGTTACTGTAATTACTGTTACTGCAGTAACTAATTACTGAAGTACTGCAGTAAGTAGTAAGTAACTAATTACTGTA